GCAGGTGTGTTGAGGCAAGTTGGAGCTAAACTCTGCAGGACACCGGCCCTCCAGGACCGAGTTTGGGCACCCCTGGTCTAGAGTTTTTCATTTTCTCTTACTTTTTTGAAAATGTAAAAATATCTAAATAGACACACATAAAAAGCTGGAAGAATGGTAAGAAAAAAAGCATTTAAAAGTTTCAGTTTTCTGTTTAATAAATGATGTCCTTAAAAACAACACTTTTTTTTGTTAATGAACCTTCTTATTTTTGTTTTATATTCAAATTATTGTAATGCTATCATGCAAACCCTCAAACAAACATGTATTTTTTCCTTCATGAGATAAATAATGTTCTTATGTCATATTTTAATCTTTGAACAATACTTGAGATGGATTCCATGCAAGTGCAGCCATTCTTGGCCAGTAAAATCCAACTTCGTTTTGGAGGATTTCATCAAACCTCTGCAACCTTTGGTTACTATTGTGAATAATTCAATATGCAAGAGTGGATTGTGGAATGTGTTGCATTTATATTAATATACCATAACCACTGCACAATCATATAAAACATGTAACAGGCCAATTCATGTGCAATTAGCATAAAATGGCGAAAAGAAAGAAAAAAAGCACCATAGTATGACTCGAGTCCCATGAAGGATCCAATCTGAGGATTTGTTGTCCTGTGATGCCTGTATATATATTTCCAAACCCTCCCATTGTAGAAAAAATTGCAGCACCTGTTTACACTCTAAAATGTAGCATAACATTTTTGTCAGGAACATATTTACAATATGAATAGCCCAGCATGATAAAATCACATGTTGGTCACTGACTACAGAGAGCAAGACTGTTTGGGATCAAGTATTTCACTTCAAATATATCTTCAATATTCAGTGTGTTGTTTTATAACCGGTGGCTTTCCCAAAAAAGAAAAATACTTCATCAATGTGAATGCTCAAGCATGCAGTGATTACAGCAGATGTTATCAGAGGTGTGTCTGAAAGGGAGGGTGTTTTATTCAGCTCTGACTAATGACTTCCTTTTGTTTTCACTCTGCTTCCTTAGCTTTTATTCCCCCACAATGTCCCTTCACCCTACAGACAAGCTTTTCTGTTCCAATCTGCATTGTTACTGCATTTAAAACTTAACAAGAAATATGAGCTGATCCACAAACATTTATCATTTTGTGAGAGAATTGCAATTGTTGAGTGTTTGATGTTGGCCAATAAAAGATTCACACCAAATATCAATCACTTCTTTTGATCTTGGTCTTTTCTGCATTTTTCTCAAATTTTCTCATGTTTCAAGACTGGTTTGAAATGGTAAGCAAGACCATTTTATACAATAAACAAAGATATATACAGCACCCAAAAATTCAATGGTACATTATGTGGAAGAGGAAGTAGAAGTGTCACTGTCATAAGTCTGGCACCCAGACCACACTTCACCAAAGATAAGTGCCGAAGTGTGAAGCTCTCCACCCCCAACACACATAAGGTGCTTCACCTTTGAAATCATTTTAAAGCCTCTCCAAAATCCCAGTTTTAAGTTGTTCCCTTTTGCATGAAGCATAACAGGAAAACTCACAAAAATAGGAAAAGCTGTAGCCTATGTTAATATAAAGAAAAAAGTTTAGGTAAAACACTGCAGCAATACTCACCTATTATAGTATCTATTATAGTTTGCTTCCATACAGTAAAAATGCATGGTTACTGCTGGAAAGTTAAGTTGGAATAAAAAAAATCAAATTAAATAAATACTACTAAAGTGTGGGTAAGATTTCATATTTTCATTCTCAGAAAAAAAGGTATAAGAGCTGTCACTGGCGCAGTATCTTTGAAAAATGTACACATTTGTATCTTATTTACCCCTGAAGTCTGCATATTAGTACCTCAACGTTTTTTTTTCTTTTTTAAGAACCTTTTGAAAAGGTACTGCCACCGTGACAGCTTTTGGACCTTTTTTCTGAGAATGTTTGATAGAAGTCTCATGCTGACCAAGGCTGCATTTATTTAATCAAACAATACAGTAAAAAGTAATATTGTGAAATATTCTTACAATTTAAAATAATTTCAATTTTCCTGTGGCCATACAGAGGCCAAGCATTTTGAAGAATGGTTGGATGGATGTTTTGTATTTGGATACATGTTAAAATTAATTTTCAGCATCATTACTCCATTTTTTTAAATATGCTGTATATGCTTTAAACATGTAATATGCTGAGAAACATTTCGTATTATCAATGTTGAAAACATTTGTGGTGCTTAATATTTTCATCAAAACGGTGTTACACTTTCCATTCATCAAAGGATCCTGAAAAAAGTATCAATAAACACTCACTTGATCAATTCAGCATCCTTGCTGAAAAAAAGTATTAATTTCTTCGAAAAAAAATGAAGTACATAGTTTGATGGTTTCCCCACTTTGTTTTAAATGCTTTATCACTCCTTTCACAAGTCACTGCTGCTTCTCCAAGCCACCCTTTGACTGACAGTGCCACTATTCCATATGATGCTATGGCAAAGAGTCCATAAATGTACATTTATGAGCTTTCCCCTTGTTTTTAACTCTAAGAACAGGACTGTTTTTTGCTTCTTCCAGTAAGAATTATATGAAACATCAGAGCTGTGCCATCAGTGCAAGAGCATTAAGAGGACCAAACACTTACTAATTGCAATTGATGTTGCACTGACATGACACGTTCATTTGTTTTTATATTCAAAAACAGTTGACAATTATACAAACAAAGTACAATTTTATAGACAATGACTTTAGTCTTTTCTGTTAAACATGTTTCCAGCTTCTGAACTTCTGTATTTTTACTGGAACCTTCAGACAAAATGTTCTGTTTGGCAAAAATGCAGGCAAATAAACAAGAAAACATCGTCGTAAGTTTGGCAACACGTGCTTTAAATACAAGGCAACCAAATACAGAAACACTGCAAATACGGTCGGAATACATTTTTAAATATTCATACCACCAAGCTGCAGTTTATTTTGACCTGGTTTTAACCATTTCTTAAGCACTGCAGAATTTATTTTTGTGAACCTTAAACGTTATTTAGTTGCAGTTGTGAAAGTTAGCCAGCTTGCATAACTTGATTTAAAAAAATAAATAAATAAAATAAAAAAGTACCTTTAAGGTCATCAACAAACACCACTGACCAATAAATAAGCTTGCCCCAGCCAGGTTCATCACTTGTAGTCTGTGTGGTTTGCAGTGCATTTTTGTATTTGGTTCAGTTGTCTCTGCATGTTTGGTCAAACCGATGAGATTTTAAATTTCCTGGTTTTCTATTTGCATGCATTTTCTTCAGTTGCAGCACATTGAGTTCTTAGTCACTGCCATTTTAGCACCATTAAATATGTACTGCCATTGAATATTTCATACCAAGTAGCTTTTTTTTTTTAATTTTTTTTTTAAATATGGTATTAGTATTTAAAGATATCAAAATGAAACTGGTATTTAAAAATCAACATGCAGGAAGCCATATTGTAACTTGCACATGACCCCAAAAACAAAACAAAAAAAAAAAAAAAACCTGAAACTGATGAGCTTCAATGTTACTATAGGTCGACAATTTCAATCATTTTTCTATTCACGTGTGGATTAAAGTGTCTTACGGTAACTGTGCAAAATCTGTTTTTGAAAGTGTGTAGCAAAGAAAAAATAAAAAAAATAAATAAAACCCATTGTTATAAGAAAGTGCTTAAACGCCACACCATCTACTGGACCGAAGTTTAACTTCCCAAACTAAACCCACTACGACCTTATGCAGAGGCTGCTCACCTGTACATTAGCTCACGAATTAGGCAAACAAGACCACTACAGGTATTATTCTCCCTTGGCTAAACAGATTAGTTCTATGTGACCCTGGACCACAAAACCAGTCTTAAGTCGCCAAGGTAAATTTGTAGCCAAAAAAAAAAAAAAAACCTTGTATGGGTCAAAATGATCGATTTTTCTTTTATGCCAAAAATTATTAGGATATCAAGTAAAGATAATGTTCCATGAACATTGTAAATGTCCTACTATAAATTACAACTTAATTTTTTGATTAGTAATATGCATTGCTAAGAACGTCATTGGACAACTTTAAAGGTGATTTTCTCAATATTTTGATTTATTTTGCACCCTCAGATTCTACATTTTCAAATAATTGTATCATACACTAATAGTAGGCTTATTCAGCTTTCAGATGACCTATAAACCTCAATTTCATAAAATTGACCCATATGACTGGTTTTGTGGTCCAGGGTCACATATAGAAATCTCAATTACACATCAGGCTAAAAGTGACAAATTGCAGGACATGCCAAGATGAAAAGCTTTGTGAACACGACTTTATTAACACTGAGAACTAAAACAGGCTAAGAGATTGAGAGCACGATTTTTCCTGACGACATCCCTGAGAACACTGCTTGGATATTAGTAGTCTCTCTTCGTACTTGTCACGGGAACAGATGGGGGGGGAGATGGGGGTGGGGTTAAAAATCTGTGCAAGCTTATTAAAATGACTTAAACACTGGGGAACTTCAGCAGCCATACCTTTCTTTCCATGTTTTAAAGGCATGGGAGATGGACATCGTCTCTCGCAGATGCCGTCACTCCCAGCATCACAAAGCACAGCGTCACAGTGTACAAAAATCTGGGGAGAGAAGTAGTCAATGCAGCCCAAATACACAAATCATGTCTCTGAAGAAATAAAATTACCTGATCTGGAAATAAGTCATCATTCTGCACAAAAGTAAACATCTTGATTTCGAAGTGCTTCACATGAGACGGGTATGGAAAGCCGTTAGGAATGACAGGGTGGAAAACGGTCTCGTAACGGTCAGCCAGATTCACACAGCTGTTGAGATTAAGAGACAAATTCACTTGGTGGAAAATAAAAAATAAAAAAAAATAAAAAAATATTCACTCAAGGTAGGACTGGTCAGTAACCTTTAAGAGTTGAGGCTTGTGGGTCAAAGGATTAACAAAATGCTATATTATACAAGTTAAAACCATTACCCATCTACAATCAAGTCCCATCTTGGAGTAGAGTTCCGGTCTTCTTTCAGAGTAGCCCAACAGTTCTCCAAGACTAGCTCTATCTGAGGATCAGTGGACTGAAGCAGCGCCACCTCAAAGAACAGAGGACTTCTTAAGTACTGTACAACTGGGTAATCTTCCTTTAGATAGAAGTTACTATAAGAGCCATCTGGGTGGATAGGAAGAGAGGGGAAAAAAAAAATAAAAACATGATTCACAAAGCGCACTTGTTTCCTTGCCACTTAATGGTCCAATAGCCCTTTTGCACAATATGCCTTATTTTGGGTGATCTGATCACAAATGATCAAAGTACAAACTGCTGCAACAGAATCAAACCACCGGTCAAGTAGCATTGTGGAAAATCTTGTACTACTCTGGCCTGATACTTCCTAACAACAGCAATCTAGTCACATTATGAACGATTGGACTAAAAGGGTTTTAAATGCTCACCTCACTACTTGCTAGAGCTTAGCTCCAACGATAAAGCCCAAAAGTACACTTTGGTTTCTCGTAAATGCTAAGGTATGCATACAGTGCAGGTGTATAGTATGTACAGAGCCAGAATTTTACCACACGTACAGAGTAGACACAGCTTGCAGATGCACTTATATTTTTCAGTCTGCCTAGTGCACATCCAGCACCTGTTTGCGCACACCACCGAATGAAGTACACAGTCATGGCCAAAAGTTTTGACCGTGACAAATTGTGTTTTGCAAAGTTTGCTGCTTTAGCATTTGTAGATTACTTTCCCACATGTTTCTATTGTATACTGAAAAACAATGATAAGCATATCATGACTTTTAAAGGCTTTTATTGGCAAAGAGTCAATATTTACAGTGTTGACCCTTGTTCTTCATAACCTCTGCAATTTGCTCTGGCATGCTGGATATTAGCTTCTGGGCCAAATCCTGACTGATGGCGATCCATTCTTGCCTTTTTAGTTCCGAGTTGATCACAACTTGTGGGCTTCTGCTTGTCCACTCGCCTTTTGAGGACTGACCACAGGTTCTCTATGGGATTGAGATCCGGGGATTTGCCTGGCCACGGATACAAAATTTCAATGTAATGATCTTCGAGCCACTTTATCACTCTTGCTTTGTGACATGGTGCTCCATCATGCTGGAAAAATGCACGGATCACCAAACTGCTTATGGCTCGTTGGGAGAAGTCGCTCTTGCAGGATGTTTTGATGCCATTTTTTATTCATGGGAGTGTTTTTGGGGAGAATTATGAGAGAGCCCACTCCCTTGTTTGAAAAGCAACCCCACACATGGATGGTCCCAGGATGCTTCACTGTTGGCACAACACAGGACTCATGGTAGTGTTCACCTTTTCTTCTCTGAACAATCGATTCTCCAGATGTCCCAAACAGTCGAAGAGAGCATCAGAGAAAATAACTTCACACCAGTCTTCTGCGGTCCAGTCCTTGTACTTGTACTTCCAGCAGAATTTCAGTCGGTCTTTGACATTATTCTTGGAGAGAAGTGGCTTCTTTGCTGCCCTTCTTGACACCAGGCCATTGTCCAAAAGTCTTGGCCTCACTGGGCATGCACATGCTCTCACACCAACCTGCTGCCAATCAGGAGCAAGCTCTGCACTGCTGGTGACACTCTGGGATGTCCTGAAGACTTAAGGTTCTTGAGGATCCAGTAAATAGTTCTTTCAGGTGCAATATTCTTTGTGGCAATTTCCTTGCATGTGAGGCCATTTTGATTCAAAGCGATGATGGCTGCACTAGTTTCTTTGGAGATAACCATTGCCAACAAGAACAATGACAGGAAGCGCTTCCCTCCCTCTATAGCAATCAGTCTGCTCTTACAATCTAATTAGTATGATTGTGACTGCACCTGACTAGTACTCATTCACACTTTCACATGTGCTGCTGATACAATTAGTCAATTAACATTAGCTGGTCATTGAGTCAGGAAAAAAAATAAAAATAAAGTGAATTGTTTTGTGAAAAAAAACAAAAATTGGCCAATGAAGCTTTTAGCAATTTAAAACGCATCTGACCACTCTACACAAATCTAGAAACATTGTGAATGAACAGCTTAAGCAGCAAACTTTGCAAAACACAAAATTTAGGTTACTACTTTCACATGTGCTGCTGATACAATTAGTCAATTAACATTAGCTGGTCATTGAGTCAGGAAAAAAAATAAAAATAAAGTGAATTGTTTTGTGAAAAAAAAAAAAAAATTGGCCAATGAAGCTTTTAGCAATTTAAAACGCATCTGACCACGCTACACAAATCTAGAAACATTGTGAATGAACAGCTTAAGCAGCAAACTTTGCAAAACACAATTTAGGTTACTGCCAAAACTTTTGGCCATGGCTGTACTTTGAAAGGCTTCGAGTCCAACTGAAAACTGAAGTAAACTGAGCTTAAATCAAACACCTGAACAAGTTAATCAAGGTCAGTAAGGAGTTTGATCAGGGTTGGAGCCAACCTCTGCAGAAAAGTGGATCTTGGGGTGCTGCTATACCTGCTCAAGATTGATGGAAACAGGGCTAAAGTGCCATTTAAGTTGTGCCTTTTGAAAATCTAGCATTACCTACTACTAGTTGATTTGCAGTTGTAACTCAAACGCCACCTGCTTGAATATGGGACAATAAAACTACAGCATTTCAGCATACCCTGAGCAAGCCGCAGTACAACTTGAAGCTCTCCAATACCAGTCTCTGGCAAGGGTTCATTTTCCCGTGGCTTTGTGAAGAAAGCAATCGTCTGGGTATCATTTAGCGTGTAAAAGCAGGACATGGTCACGCTAACAAGGAGAAAGAAAGAGTGCACTTTAAAAGTTTCAAAAGACATGCATTAGCAGGCCTGATACACAAACTCCAAAAGATTCCATCTCACCGATACTCTGGATCAGGAGGACTAGCTGGTACTCCTTTTTTAATCCCCTGGTGACCTTGCAGCCCCTTACCCAAAGCGATTTCATTTTGATACATCACAACGCCATCATAGAACTGAGGGAGAGACAAGAGCGAGAGCATAAGATGGTGAGCATTTAATACAAAGTACAACCAAAACAGCCACCTCCATACCATTCTAGTGGTTCCACAACGGTTTGCTTCAAAAGAGAAGTAGGCAAAGCGATCATTGCTGAATTTTGGTCTACATGAGGGATCCCTCAGGGTAAGTTGACGAGGGACAAGCTGGGGTACGGATTCTACCTTCACTGCGAGGGCTGACATGGTGCCATTGCTAAAACACTCTGGAAAGTTCATGCCAAAACCATTACATCTCTAGGCCAAATGTCAAGGCCTGTTAAAAGCATTAATAACTTGAAAGAACACCATGCAAAAGAACATACCAGTCATGGTCATCGGAAAATTGCAAGCCAGGGAGAAGTCATTTAGTGTCCATTTGTTCACGGGCTCCCAGAGTAACACATCAAGCCGAGCCCTCAAGGATGATGGGTACATCAGCTAGCTCATATGAGTGGCATTCTCCTTTATATCGTACTCCGTGCTCTGGTCTGGAGTCATGTCACGCACACCCATCTTAATATTAAAATTTTTGCCCAGGTTTCCAAATGAAATTACGACATAGAATTTTTCTTCATCACAAGTTCCACTCATAGTTGGGAGAACTGGATGGGGGAAATGATCCATTAACAATGACATTAAACCCTTGGGTATTGGTGAAGGGAGGGAAGAGGAAAAGAAAAAAAAAAAAAAAAAAAAAAAAAAAAAA